ACATACACACACACACTCACACACACATTCACATACACACACACTTACACATGCTGATACACTCACACACACACACACACACACACACACACACACACACACTCACACACACACACACACACCTCAGCATCTTAGCACCACAGTTTCCTACTCCTGCAGTGTATCGTTCAGTGTGGGAAGAAGGTGGGGTGTTTTCCATAGTGAGATCTAGGGGTCCAAGCTCTTTTCACTTGTGTCTCTGCCGTCTCTAAGCTGTGGCTTCCATATTCCTCACACACAAAAAAAGGAAGCTAAACAGCTCTCCCCTGTGATCTCAGCACATTAACACATATTTTGTTTGGGAGAATTAGTCTCATGCAAGGGTGACACTTCCAGGACCAGCTGCCACCTGGGAACAAAGGTATGGCCAAATGTTGGTCCCCATGTGAGCAGCTCGGCTGGCTCTGTGCTGCTTCCCGCACTCTCATGGGTCCAGGCCCTTTCCTGGCCCCCTGCTCACACTCCCCTATTTTCCACACCCACAGAACTCACCCCACACCCCTAGCCCACATCCTGCAAGCATCCGTAGCAATTTGGCAATTTGTACTTACCTGTGAACTGTGCCCTGCCTGGGCAGCTCTTTGCGTGACCACTAGACACCATGAGAGAGAAGTGTGCATCTCGACTTGAACACTACCTGCCATCTCTGCCAGGCCATCTGAATGGTCAGTGGTTAAATTAGCCATCTTGAGAGATGGTGAGCACTGTGTTCCTGGGAGCACATTTAACTGGAAACAGAGCACCTAGTTGATGAGCTTTCAGTAGGGAAGAGAATGCATGGCCTTACTAGAGAATGTGTTTTCTGGTTCTGGAATTGCACTTTATAGGGTGCCCAGTTTATTTTGGGTGTAGTGAGTGATACGCCTTGCCTTGTGACGTGCACAGGTTCAGGGTAGTGTCACTCATTTGTCACCCTCTGCAGTACCGTTGACCTTGGGGCTCAGTGGTTGATGCTCTCTTTACACAGAACCTTATGATGTACTCAGAGGGAAAAGGTTGAGTGCCTCACACAGCACCGAGATGAGCAGTAGAGACTGCTCAGACAGACTGTTGGCGTTTAGGAGAGGAATAGCCAGGATACCCCTTCTCCATTGCCAAGTCTACATCTCAGTTTCCAGACAGCCAAATTGCTACGGATGCTTGCAGGATGTGGGCTAGGGGTGTGGGGTGAGTTCTGTGGGTGTGGAAAATAGGGGAGTGTGAGCAGGGGGACAAGAAAGGGCCTGGACCCATGAGAGTGCGGGAAGCAGCACAGTGCCAGCCGAGCTGCTCACATGGGGACCGACATTTGGCCATACCTTTGTTCCCAGGTGGCAGCTGGTCCTGGAAGTGTCATGCACAGAGCTTGATTCTCAACTCTCAGCTGCCTTTATTTAATGTTGAGGCAAAAATCATACTGATAAATGCCATGCCTTACTGTCTGACTTCAGAGGACATACCTATGCCTTGGCAGTTTCCTTCTAGTGACCCTGGGTCTTTTGGGGTACTCAGTCTATGAGTGTAAACAGCCCCTCCGTCTTGAACAAATCCTCATATGAGTGAAAGCATTCAACACCACATTCTCGTTAAGCCCTGGAAGCCCCACATCTACCCTAAGGAGAAAGCAGGGTGCAATTTACACCTCTGTGTCAAAAGATAAGGAAAGCAAAAATTCAGAAAGGTCATGCAAGGCCCACTGCCAGGTTCTGGAATGTCCTTCCCATATTGGGCCTGGCTGGCACTGCAAATCTATCGGTTGGCCCAAGCAGCCAGCATCCTGTTCCCACATTTTGTCTCCCATCCTCTGAAGCACTCCTAGAAGGTGCTCCAGCCGTCTTGCAAGCATCTACCTCTGCAACTGACTCCAAAGGTACATAAAACCACCCAGTACAGTCCACTTAGCTATTAATACCTTTCTTCCTTTAGTGACCATTTACTGACATGGGATGGAGGAGGGGCTTAAAGACATGGCTCAATGGCTAACGGCACATGCCGTTCCTGCAGAAGGTCCAGGTTCCATTTCCAGCATTCACATGGTGGCTCTCTCCTGTCTTAACTACAGGATCCGGTACCCTCTTCTAGAATCCTCAGGCACTGCACATACATGGTACACAGACATGTGTAAACACAAAATAAAAATATATATTTACTGAGGGCTCACCATGGCACTGTCCTTTGGCAGTTTGGAATTTAGTAATGAACATACCCACCTTTGTGGAGCCTACACTCACTTAGGAAAGCGGGGGAGGTACAATGGACAATAATGAACAAATGAGATTATATCAAGGGTTTAAAGGTGGTGAGAACAAGAGGAAGTAGCCGAGGCAAGGCAGACAGGAAGTGGCAAGGGACCAGGCCATCACTTTAATTAGGGCACTGGCATAGCATCCCTAAGATGCTATAGCAGTGAGGAGGGAGGGGACATGTTCAGGTGGAGAGAGGGAATGTGGCAGAGCTCCAGGCAGGAGCTAGGATATCAGAGGCTGGAGAGAGGAAGAGAGCAACTGCTGGGAGCTGAGACTGAGACAGGCAGAGGCATGAAGACAGCTCTGCTCCTATCCAGCGGCAGCCTGACCTCTTGCTACAACGCTATTGCATTCTGTATTATGGATGGTCAGTGCTGGGCTAGATGTCTGGGTCTAGAAAGGGAATTCTAGTCACCAGCCTGGTACTCCTGACACCTGGCACCCTTACATGAAGGTTGCTGGAGAGATGCCAGCACAGTCACGCTGGAAAGAGCGAGGCAGGGACTTACTGTGAGGCTAATGGTTGTGGAGTGGGGCTGTGTGCTAGAACAAGTTCAAGGCTCCCCGGGGTCCTTAGTCTACTGGGTCTTTGCATTGTGCTTTCTGTAGTCAGGCCTGCCTCTCTTCCCTCATCTTAAGGGCATGTGTTTTCTATGTTGTATTTCAGTTTAGTGGCCCATCCAGCTGTTAGAACCAGACCCTACCATCTTTTGAGAACTCATCCCTACCTCCTGCTTCCTTCCGTATGACTGCTATATTCCTGTATCTGCCAGCAAAGACATTGCTGTCCCAGAGTCACCAGCTCCGCTTACAGTGCCTTGGTCTTAGCAAGGCTAACCTGGCTCCTACACCCAGACTGTGGCCTAAGGCCAGAAAACAGTCCCTGAGGGAGGGACTGGCTGGTGGCAGGTGGCTGCTTCCTGCTGCTGACCCTCTCCCACTTCCTCCCTGCAGCCTACGAGATCGTCATAGAAACAGGCAACGGAGGCGAAACCAGAGAGAACGTCTGGCTCATCCTGGAAGGCAGGAAGAACAGATCCAAGGAATTCCTTGTAGAAAATTCTTCCAGACAACGGGCCTTTCGGAAGTAAGAAGAAGAGTGCTCAATGAAATGGGGGTGGGGAGGGCAAGCCATAGACCTTCACTGAGAGATCTACAAATGGGCCAGTTGAATACCTGCTGTGTGCCAGACTTGTGATTCCCTTGAAAGTATTATCCCACATTTCAACCCAGAGCTTTCTCCCTGTTTGTTCTGGGAAACCTCTGGCCGTGTCCACTTCGTCTGTGTCCCTGCAGAACTACAAGATTTCCACATCCCCCTACTCAACCCCTTTATTTTAGCTCCTTCAAGCTGCCATATGAAACAGTAGCTTAGGGACAACTGAAATCTCTTTCCGATGTTCTCGAGGCTGCTGGCAGATTTAATGTCTGGTGACACTTGCCTCCCAGTTCACAGATGGGGGTCCTCTCACTGTGTCCTTGTGCAGCAGAAGGGTGCAGGAGCTCCCTGGGGGTTGTTTTATAAGATTACATTCACAAAGGCTCTACCTTCTTTGCCTAACCACCATCCAAAGACCCAGCTTCAAACTCCACATGGTATTAGGTTTCAACACGCAGACTTGGCAGGATACCCCAGTCCATTTACCACAACCTTTTATTCCAATGCTCCTTCCATGAGGACAGAGTCTGAGTTTCATAGACTAGTACCAACAGACCACAGAGACTGCCCATGCCCTGCCTTTCCATTGTCATGACCTCATGGATTCAAATGTCATGCAAGTAGATTCCCCAATACCCAACTACTCCCGTTGTAGAAGACAGGTATTTATAAGGTCTTTATTAGAAGGTTCTTCCTTCTCCTTCTTCCTCTGCAGCTCCAAACCCAGCTCTTTACTTTCTTCCAAGTTCCAGTCTGCTTGGTGGCATTGACATTCACATGCTGGGAGCAGGTTGCTGGCAGGGCTTTTCACTATCATCGTCTCGATTTAAAACTAGCCTGAACCCCTCAGGGGATGCTAGGCTGACACCAAATCCTGCCTTCCATAACACTCCAGAATACTGTAAATCCGTACTGCATCAGCAGGTGTGAGCAGCTCACTGATCACACCTTTGTTTCCTGTAGGGGGACCACAGACACGTTTGAGTTTGACAGCATCTTCTTGGGAGACATTGCCTCCCTCTGTGTGGGCCACCTGGCCAGGGAGGACCGGTTCATCCCCAAGAGAGAGCTAGTATGGCATGTCAAGACAATCACCATCACCGAGATGGAGTATGGGAATGTGTATGTATATTGCCGAGCCTGGTGTGCAGTGGGAACTTCAACCATGCATGTGTGAGAAGACAGTGTGTCTTTCAAGGCCAAGGTGACCCTAGTCATGAGTGTAAGCCTAGATCAGGACAGGAAGAAGCAGCTGCCATGTGCCAGAGCAGTGGTTCTCAACCTTAGTGCCACAACCCTTTTATAGACACCTCATGTTGTGGTGACCCCCAACCATAAATTATTTTTATTTCCACTTCAAGACTTTAATTTTGCTACTGTTATGAATTGTAGTATAAGTGCCTGTGTTTTCCAGTGGTCTTAGGTGGCCCCTGTGAAAGGGCCTTTCACTCACCCCAAAAGGGTTGCAGCCCACAGGTTGAGAAGCACTATGCTAGAGCTACCTGAACTGCGTGTCTTCTGTCTTCTAGCAGAGATGGGGTTAGATTGGGCGACCTTGGATGTCTCCTGCTTTTCAGTCCAAGGAGATTCCCTTATGAGAACACCAAGAAAGGTACAGAGTGGTTATACTGGAGCCTGCCCTTCCTCCCTCCCTCCCTTACTTCTTTCCTCTTTCCTTTTTCCTTTCTTCCAGTGAATAAAGAACAATGGCAATTTATGTCGTTTGGAAGTCTATGGGTCCTTACTGACCAACATGTGAAGAAAAGTATCCCACACCTGGCTCTAGGATTTTTTTCTTCATAATCTATGGCATCTCAGAAATGCATTATCCCTCTGTATAGGGTAACTTCTATCTATCTGTCTATCTATCTATCTATCTATCTATCTATCTATCTATCTATCTCTGTGTATATATATTATGTATGTATATGTGTCTAGTATGCTCTTTATATGGGGGATAGAACCTAGGGCCACACATGTTTTGCATTTTGCATGAGTGTTCTATCACCGAGCTGCACCCCCAGCCTTCTTGGCATTCTTGTTCATCATTAATACCCTCAAGGTTCCAGTAGAAGGGCATAGAGAAGTTTTTATCTATTTTTTTAAACAGAAAACACTGTCTTATCAACATAGTTTATCCAATAGATAATGACTACAAAATTCAAATAAGACCCAAAAGTAAACAAAGGACAGCAAAAATTCCATAAGGTCCTGCCCATCTGAGAGGCTCCGTGAGTTCTGGGACCCTCACTCTCCTCTACACTTTTCCGATCCCTTATGGTCACAGCATTCACAGAAGGGTGGCTATGCTGTGCCTGGCTTTCAAGCCAGCTCAGTTCCTTTTGGTTCATCCTTTTCACCTTTGGTCTTAGAGGCCCCTCCCCCACATCCAGCCACAGCCTTGAGTCCACCGGCTTTGAGTCCCACACCACGAGCTGTGTTTCTAGCTCTATTAGTCTAGCTCTGTCTGCTTGTCCTTGTATCTGTACCGAGGAATGTTTTTTATCCATTTAAAATAATGAACTAAATGTGCACCAGATGACTTGGAGCAACTCCCAGGAAGTATTATGAAGTGAGGAACCCAAGATGCAGGAGAACACGTTTCGTACTATAGTGCTGTGCAGAAAAGAGAACACTGACATCCCATATGCCTGTGTGTACGTGGGTCTGTCAGAGGCTGGAAGGGAGGAAGTCTGGCAGGCTGCACCCTCAGCTGTTATGTGGGTTATCTAAGGTAAGGTGGGGTGCTGCAGTAGGAGCCAGAGAGAAAGAGTCACAGCCAAACAGAAAGGAAGACAGAGAGCACACTTGGAAATCCATGTATGTGAACATACAACTTGTGCATTTATGTCCAACTATGAATATTACCAAATCTATGCAAAGACACATTTTAAAATAATTTTAAACTGAACAATGAATATACATCTCCTTTGAAGATATTCTGGTATGTAAAAAAAAAATCTAAGTATACCAAGTGATAAATCTGAGGAGGAGAGAGAGATTGCAAAACAGAACAAGAATTTTCTGTGAGGCACCTTCATTATTTTTCCTCTGAAATTTCTTTCTTCTTTTCTTTCCAATTAAAATTTCTTTGCTGGCACCAAGGGCCAGAGAGTTGACTCAGCAGGTAAAAAGCATTGGCCACCAATCTTGCTAACCTTAGTCTGATGCCTGAGGCACACATGGTAGAAAGAGAGAGCTGACTCTCACAAGTCATCCCTGCCCTCCACATGTGTGCCGTGGCAGGTGCTTACCCAACCCAAGTACATACACTTGGAATAAATGAACACGTGTAAAACCATCTTTAGTTCTTTATTTGCATTTATTCACAGCACATATAAAGTCTATTTGTAAAGTCAATTTCTTTCAAGTGTAGCATGAAGTTTTAGCATCTCCGCTCTCTTCCCTCTCCCTGTGTCCTGTCTGTTAGTCCATGTCTTCCCATCTTCCTTCTGTTTTCACATCATATACGCACATAACTGATTTTATGTCCCTATTTTAAAAAAGAAAACCCTAGGCTCTCTAAATGAAGGAAAATGTGATTTTTGTAGATTGTACTTTGGCTGATTTTCTTAACATGATGACTTCTAGCTGCATCTATTTTCCAGAAAATGGTAGTTTCCCTTCCCTTTGTGGCTGAGTAAAACCTCACTGTGTGTGCATACATTCTTTTATCCATTCGTGTGGACAAGTATCCGGGCTGATTTCAAATGGTGGCTACCATGGACAGCGGTGCTGTGAACAGGGCCATGGAGCTCTGACTTACATTCCTCCAGCAGTGTAGAGAGGTTCCCTGCGACCAACATTCTCACAAGCTTGGTTTGCTGTTTGTTTTCTTTGTGTAGTCATTCTAACCAGAGTGATGTGGACTCTCTGTAGTTTTGATTGTGTTTCCCTGAAGGCTAAGAATGCTAAACATTTCCTATAGTTCTGGGCTGTTCCCTGCTGTATTGGCTAGGTTGTTACTTGTTTGGAACTTAGCTTTTCTGATGTTCTTTATATAATCTGGATACTAATCCTCTGGCAGATGTACAAGTAACAAAGATTGTCTCTCATTCTCTGCTCTGTCACTTCTCTCTGCTGAGTCTTTCCTGTGATTTTGCTCTTAGACTTATTTATTTTACATGTGTGAATGTTTCGGCTGCATGTATGTATTATTGCATACATATGAGCCTAGTGCCCACAGAGGTCAGGAGAGAGTGTCAGGTCACCTGGAAGTGGAGCAAGAGATGGTTGTAAGCCTCCATGTGAGTGCCAGCATTGAACCCTGGGGATGAGCGTGCACTACACCTCTGAGCCCATGTGATCTCATTCACCAATTCTTGGTACTTGTTCCTGAGTTTCTTCTTTTGAAAAAGTCCCTGCCTTTGCTTGCATCTTGAAAGCCTTCTCCTACTGTCCCTAACTATAAGAGTTTTAGGCCTCATACTAAGGTTCCATCCATTTGAGATGATTATGTATAGGGTTAGACTAGAGAGGCTAATGTCACTCTTCTACATATGAATTATATGCAGTTTCCATAGCATAATTTTCTGAAAAGGCTGCCGGTTCTTCAATGTACGTTCTTTGGTATCTTGGTAAAAATATAAATAAAATTAGGTGTCTATAGATGTGACCTTAAATCTGGGTCCTTAAATCTTTCCCACTACTCTGTTTTTCTGTGGATACTAAGCTACTTTTGTTACTATGGTTCTGAACTATAGCTTGACAGTGGTTCTAAGTACATCTCCGGCATTGTCCGTTTTGCTCTGGATAGCTTTGTGCAACCCAGGGCCTTCGGTATGCTTCTGTGTTAGTTTTAAGATTTTTTTTCCTATTTTTGTGAAGAATGTCTTGGGATTTGATGGGGATTACAGTGGATCTCTACCCATTTCCACTAAGTTAATTCTGCTGCGCTGTGAGCAGAGAGGTCTTTCCGTCTTCCGTTGCCTTTGCCTTTGGAGGTCTTCAGCTGATTCTCTTTTATTGTGTTCCTTTGCTGACAGTGTTTATCAGCTCCGAATGTTCCGCTGGGGTCTTCAGTGTTGTTAGTGTGCAGCGTCATGTCATCTGTAAATCTGAGCAGCTTCGTTTCTTCCTTCCCTGTGTGTCTGTGCTCCTTCCGTTTCTGTCTCCTGTCTGAGTGCTCTAGCTGAGACTTGAGAGATTACACGGGGAAACTGGGAACTGTCTCATGCCTGACTTCAGTGGGAACGCCTTGAATTCCCCCTACCTAGTGCAACGTTAAGTACAAGTTTGCCATAGATGATCCCTGTTATATTGTTCTAGTCTTAGTGTCTTCTGGGATTTTATTATAAAGGGATTCTGGATTTTGTCAGAAAATCTTTTCTGCGATCATGGAGATGATGGTGTGGTTTCTGCCCTTGAATCTATAAGGTGATGTATTACATTTATTGATTTCTGATGTTGAACTCTTTATCTCCCTAGAATCAAGCCCAGCTTGTCACAGTGCAAGATTTTTTTGGTGTATGATGGAATACAGTTTTTAAGTAGTTTGCCTGTGTTCATCAGGGAGATTGGTGTGTGTGTGTGTGTGTGTGTATGTGTATCCTTATCTGTGTATCCTTATTTAATTTCAAGGTAGTTCTACCATCTTGAAATCAGTTTGGTAGTATTCCTTTCCTTTCTGGCTAATGGGCTACATTGAGGAACATGCATCTTCGTTCTTCTTGATGTGTCTGATGGTTTACCACTGAGTCCATCTGGGTCTGGGTTTGTGAACCTTCATGTCAATGCTTCAATCTCAGCATCTGTGAAACATCTACTCAAGTTTTCTATATCATCTAGGTCTAATATTTGTATGTTGGTGTGTCTAGAAATGTATCTGTTCTGTGATTTCATTTATCTCTCATTCTCTGTCTCTCTTTTCCCCTCCCTCCCTCCCTCTCTCTCCCCCTCCCTCCCTCTCCTCCCCTCCCTCTCTCTCCCTCTCCTTCCCTCCCTCCCCTCCCTCCCCTCCCTCCCTCCCTCTCTCAGAGTTTGAATGACAGCCTGTGGAAGTTGGCTCTCCCTTGCCATCTCAGGTTGTCTTTCTTGTGAGCAAGCACCCTTACCGCTCAGCTGTCTTACAAGCTCAAATAGAAGTTTTCCAAGTCTGCCTTAATGATCTGAATTTCATTGGTATTGTTGTAATGTCTCCCTTTTGATTTCTAAGTTTACTGATTTGGGTCTTCTATTTCAGTTGTTTAGTTTGCTACAGGTTTATCGATCTTGTTTATCATTTTTTAAAACCCACTTCTTATTTTGCTGGTTCTTTGTGTTATTCTTTTGGTCTTCATTCATTTCTGCCTTAATCTTAGTACTTCTTTCCATCGATTGACTTGCTCTGGTTTCTCCCAGGCCTTAAAAGTGTATCCTTAAGCTTTGTATTTGAGACCTCTCTAGTGTTTTTTAACATAAGCATTTATAGATATGAATATCCCAATACCAATTTCATCACACTCCACAGGTTCTAGTATGTTGTGTTTTTATTTTCATTAATTCTAGAATTTTTAAATGACCCTCTTGATCCCCTCCCTGACTCATTTATAATTCAGTGGTGTATTGTTCAATCCCCATGAGTTTTGCTCAATCATTTCTCCTAGTGCTGACTTTATCTGTTGCAATAACATAAGACATGATGGAGAAGAGTGGGGGAGGGGTATATGGTTTGGAGAAAACAAAGGAAAGCAAGAAGTGTTGTAATTAAATTATAATCTCAAAAATTGAAAAACAAGATAAGATATAAGAAATCACTTGAATTTTCTTGTATTCTTAAAGATCTTCTTTAGTGTCCTCAAATGTCATCTATTCTAGGGAAGGAAGCTACATGAGTTTCTGAGAAAAGTGCGTACTCGGCAATGTTTTGGTGGAATAGTCTGAGGGCATCTGTTAAGTCCATTTGATCTGCAGCGGCACTTGGTGTGATGTTTCTTTGGAGTGCTTTGTTGATTTGGTTCTGTTTGTCACATGACCTGTTTATTGGTGAGAGTAGGGCACTATTATTGTGTGTAAGTAAAATCCGTGCCTTTACATCCATTAGTGTTTGTTTTTATAAAGTTATGTCAATACTCAGTGCATATAGGAAACAGTTACAGTATCCTCTTAGTGGACCGTTCCCTTCATCTATACGTCGTTACCCTCTTTATCTCTTCCAATTAACTTTGTTTTGACCCGTTTTGTCAGATATTGGTATCTCTGCGCCTGCCTGCTTGCTGCCTAGCTCCATTTGTGTGGAATCTCGCTTTCTATTCCTCACATTCCATCTTTAAAGCTGTGCTCGTTTTCCTCCCAGTGAAACGGGTTTCTTGTAGGAGATAAATAGGCCCCATCTTTTAAAATGGGCCCCATTTTAAAATCCAATCTACTAGTCTGTGTCTTTTAGAGGATCCAGATCATAATATTCACAGTTATTGCTGAGAGCTTCACACTAACTGTCATTTTGTTATTTTGTAATATTTGGTGCTTCCTTTCCTTATTTGATTATATGCTTGCCATTCAAGTGCAGTTTATCCTTTCCTGTGACCTTGTGGTCATTCCTTTCACAGAGTAGATAGATTTCTTCATACATAACTACAGATAGATATAACCTCTGTAGTTCTGGTTTAGTGGTCATGAAGTTTTTTATTCTATCATGTAAAGTGCTTCTTTCTTTTTAAACTATGAAGAGTGATTTTGCCAAATAGAGTAACCAGGTCAGTAGTTACTGTCTTTCAAAGCTTGAATATACAGTTCCATGCACTCCTGGGTCTTAGAGTTTCTGTTGAGAAGTCTGCTATCACGCTGACGGAGTTACCTTCACGGGTTACTTGATCCTTCATCCTTGCTGCTGTCAATGTCGTCTCTGTAGTCTTAATGCTTGATTTAGAGTGTGATGTGGGAAATTTCTATTCTGGTCCAGTGTGTCTGGGATTCTCAGTATCTCTTGTGTCTAGTTGGTCACCACTTTTTCTAAGTTTGAGAAGCTTTCTGCTATGCTTTTACTGAACATAATTTCTATGCCTTTAGTTTGAACTTCTCCATCTTCTATGTTTAAGTCTTTTATGGCATCTCATAGGCCTTGAGTGTTCTATTCTGCTTTCTTATTATTTTATCTTTGTAATCCTCTGAATGTTTTCATTTGTCTACTTTGTCTTTGAACTCTGATATTTTTGTCTTCATCTTAATTTATTCTATTGGGGAGGCTCTCCACTGGGGTTTTTCCTTACTGAGCTTTTCATTCCATTATTTTTTTATTAGTATTTCCCTCTATTGATATACTGTGTTGCTGTCTTTCTTTTATTCAGTAGTTTGCTTTGTGTTCTCTCTGTGATCATTCTGAGATTTCCTCATGTCTTCTTTGATTTGGTGCAACATTCTTATAATCATTTTTAATTACTATCTACAGTTACTTCTCATCCACTTTCTCTGTAGTCCATTATGGTGGAATTAGTGATTTTCAGGGATTGCATTGTTTGACTTTTTTTTTAAATATTTCTTGTGTTTCTGCATTGGGTTTTGTGCATTAGGTTGTAAGTTGATGCTTTTATTAAAAGCATCTTACTTTTAATCATGCATATTTATTCAGTCTAAGTATTTTGAATATTCAGGTAGTGGTAGGTTGTAGAAGGATCGATATGTCATTTATCCTCGCTGTCCTGGGTGTGTGGCTGAACCCCTCATCTGTGTGCCTGCTCTCCAGCTTTGCTGCAAACAGTAGAGTCCTCTTTTCATCAATCACTATAATAAACAATACAGAGACTTATGAAAACACAATAGTAGTTAAAATCACTCCTCGGTGTAAATAATTTGAGGGAACTAAGAAGCAGATAGATTGCCGTGTCCTAAGATATTAGTTACTTCAGGTAGGGAGGGAAGTAAAGAAGCAGAGTGATGGCAGAAATTGGCTTGAGAGCACAGAGAGCACAAGAGAGAAGGGAAGACAGAGCAGAAGACAAAGGGAGACGATAGGCAGTTCCAAGTGAACGTAGACTGCAAAGGTGGTAAGGAAGGCAGTCAGACTGGGAGGTGGCTGTCAGGGAGTACTTTTCATGCAAGCTCAAGGCCCTGAGCTTCCAGGAAAGCCTGGCTGACGCCACATGCTTGCAAGCCCGGCACTGGGAAAGCAGACAGCCAGATGAGGTTCAAAGGCCAACCTGGTGATATCTCTGAGAGACCCTGACTCAAAAAGAAGACCCTAGTCAGGTAGGCAGCACCTGAAAAACTGCATCTAAGGCTTACCTGTGGTTTCTACATGTGTGTGTGTATGCATGAACACACACACACATGCACACACGAACACATGCACACACACACACACACACACACAGGGAACTGAGGCAAGGAGACTCCTAATCCCACAGCAACCTGTGCAATCACTCCCTTACAGGACCTGGTGCTGATTCTGCCTATGTGAAGTATTCAGAGAGGAAGGGCATTGGTACCAGTCATTTCAGGGGTGGGTCACAAACATAGGACCTGACTCTGTGTGTGTTCTGGTGTGCCTAGGACATGAGTGCTGATGTTGCCACAAGGTTCTCACTTAGACTGATGCTTAGCGTGGGTGCTGGGCCTGTCATATGTGTATTCTCATAGACGTAGGATGTCAGCATAAATCCTTCCTTTGGGAAGCTCTTCTGTAGCCACACCGAGTGCAGGTCCTGCATTTGGCAGGCTACTACAGGGTGAAGGGGAAGTTCTGGTCCTCTTTCTATGTGTCCAGTGGGGACTCTGGCTCAAATTAAATTTCCCCTTTGCAAAGCTCTGTGTGATTTTGATTCACAGTTTCGTTTTCCATCTGATCTAGAGGTATTCTGCCAACCATGTTTCAGTCTAGTCCTGGGACACTTGCTGGGGGTTACCAGGATGCAAATGGGGAGCTCTGCTCTAGACCTAGGCAGGTGACCCAGCAGGGATCTTCTGAAGATGGCTCAGTTCTCTGTTCCTGTTCCCTGCTTCTCAAGATGGCTGCTCTCCACCCATCCCCCATGTCCTCACCTCTGGGCACCCTATTCCTGCACTGCATTCCTGAAGTCATTAGCACCAGGACTGCTTATTTCAAAATCTGCTAAATTATTAGTGTTGTGGGAACTAGTTCTGGGGAGATGAGCAAACAGCTATTCACCCCAGATAGGAAACCAACAGCAGAACAAAGAAATAATTCCATCCTCGTTGAGACTAGTGAGCCAGTGAGTTTAACTGGGCTTACTTAGTGGAGCCTAGGAAAGTTATAAGCCGCTGAATAGCTGAAGAAAATGTCTCTCCTCCAGGAACATATAACCTAACTATTCTCAGAGAGGGGCAGGGCTTCATGAGACCCTCCCCATTCCGAGCCATTAACCACCTATAAATTCTCAAGGAGAAACAGGACCTTATTAGCATTGTACCCCCCCTAACCCTCACCCCTGACCAAGCAATGGTTAGCTGCCTATAAATGCTCAGAAGGGGTGGGACCTGGCACATCCCTCTCCCACCTCCATGACAGAATGAATGGGCTCCATCTTGCGCTGGTCTCCTGTGTGTGGAAAATCAGAGCTGTTGAGAGTTCAAGGTGGGGGGATGTCTAGTAGACAGCATGCTACAACCATTAGCAATTTGGATTGGGAAGAAATCATAGCAATTGTTTATGTCAAACCTAAGAAGCAAGAAGTGCAGAGGCCAGTTAGCTGGTCCCTGATATTCTCCAGGTGGAAGAGGATGGCGATTTGGACCAGAATGGAGCACAGGAGTAGATTCTAGGGATAGAGGAACAGACAGGCCCATTCTGGGTACATTTGAAAGATAGGACCAACAGGTTTGAGTTACAGATTTCAAGTGCATAAAGAATTAGAAAGGAATTAGAAGAAACAAGGAGTGACTGGAAGAATGGGGCATCCGGGCTATAGGACCCTCTGCTCCTATCTCCAAAGCTGACTCCCGTCTGCTCTTTATCCCTCTGTCAGGTACTTCTTTAACTGTGACAGTCTCATCCCCCTCAAGAGGAAGAGGAAGTACTTCAAGGTATTCGAGGTTACGAAAACGACAGAGAGCTTTGCCAGTAAGATCCAGAGCCTGGTGCCAGTCAAGTACGAGGTCATCGTGACAACGGGCTATGAACCAGGGGCGGGCACTGATGCAAACGTCTTTGTGACCATCTTTGGCGCTAATGGGGATACGGGCAAGCGCGAACTGAAACAGAAAATGCGCAACCTCTTTGAGAGGGGCAGTACAGACCGCTTCTTCCTGGAGACGTTAGAACTGGGAGAACTGCGGAAGGTTCGGCTGGAGCACGACAGCAGCGGCTACTACTCAGGCTGGCTGGTGGAGAAGGTGGAGGTCACCAACACGAGTACTGGAGTGGCCACCATCTTCTCCTGCGGCAGGTGGCTAGACAAGTCTCGGGGCGATGGACTCACCTGGCGTGAGCTCTTCCCGTCTGTCTGAGATGCCCTAGCCACACCTTACACCCTCCACCTTGCGTTCAATATCCATCTCTGCAAAGCTCCACGGGTGGGGACTAGGGCAGAAGACCTGGGGTCTCATATCCGTCAGAGGCTGCTCCTTGCAAGGGACTGTTTATGGAATCCTGGTCTCTACCTTCTCCATCTCTCAGACATACAAGAGTTATTATATTCATCACATGATATAATCCATGACTGTACAAACTAATTTTTTTAAATTTTCTTTCCTTATAATAACAGTGGTTGCCCAGGTTGGGACTTGCTGCAGGGTGTGGATGGAAAATTGGGACTTCACTCAGGGGAGACAAGTGGAGAAGGAGAGGTTATCAAGGCGGGATATTTTAAGCAAAAACTAATTAACACTTTTTCTCCGAAAAAAAAAAAAGCTAAGCTAATTAAATTATTCCAAACCACACCCCTCAGAGAACTCATCTGAGCACCTATGTGCTAAGACATGTATGGTTTTTTTTTTCCCAGTTCCAACAAATCCAGGGTCAAATGCAGAAAAACATCAGGAGGGAGTGTTGGCGGACCTTGAGCCCGTGTAAAGTAGGTAATTCTTTCCACCACTTTACAGAGACGAAGAGAATAAAAGCTCTCAGATCCTGACACCTTGGTCTCCCTACCCCTGTCTGTCTGTCTGTCTGTCCAGCTCTGCTCCTCGCAGCCCCCCTCCCCCATCACAGGATCCTCAGCTCAGTCCACACCACTTCTCTGCCACTTCCCTCTGACAAGTGCTCAGTCAGCGTCACTGTGGAATGTGGCAGGAGTGGTCTCTTGCTTCCTTTCTGGTATTGATGCATTTCATAAATGTTGGCTTGCTGCTCTTGGGATAGGTCGAGCCAGCTCCACCCTGTACCAAACATAGCCAAGTTTCTTGCAGTCTTCAACCTGCCCTGCTTGTTTTGCGTTCCTTAGAGGACCTGTCAGGATCTAATGAAACCATTACCAAAAACTTTCAATTAAACTATTGAGACTTCTGTTGGTTTGGGTGTGCTTTTATCCACAAGGCCCCTCCTACCCGCCCCACCCACCCATCCCCAGGTTCCTGAGACCACCTCTAGCTTGGGAAAGTCAGTTATAGCTCCAAGCCCAGCGTGCTGCTCTCCAGCGATGCCTCACAATCCGTCATCCTGCCTGTGCCTTTCTAGGCTCTCTTCTCCGCTAGAAGTTTCCTTGTTCCAATCCATCCACCCCTCTGTTTCACCAGACTTGGTGTTTTACACTCAAGGTGTCTCAGATCAAGGTCTTTATTCACTACCAGAAAATCTTTCTGTTATCCCTCCGTCAAGATAGGCCTCATATGGTACTCATATCCATAAATGGTATTTTGTAGGGGGGTTGCCTCTCTACCTGGACCACTAGTCTTCAAAAAGGATCAGGTCTAATTCATCTTTGTAATACTAGAGCTTATCACAAATCCCAGAGTGTAATGTATATATGTATTTGGTACTAGAAAAATAGTATGTAGAGGGAAGGAAGGATATGTAAGTGGACAAATGTTTATGCATGGTGGGTGGTAGATGGAGGAGAGGGAAGGAAAGAAGGAAGGAAGGAAGGGATAGTGAGAAGGTGGGTGGATAGATCCATGGTTGGGTAGATTGATGGATGGATAGATTATGAGTAGGTGGATAAGTGGTTGAATATACTGTTGACAGGGTAAATGTGTCTGTGTATATATATATATATACACATATATATATGTGTGTGTGTGTGAATTAATTTCAGTACTTAGATACTCTTTCTGCTGAGACTTGTACTAGCTCAAGGTCTTGAGGATGCTCAATTTCATCACTTCTAGCTAGAATTCTTTCAAGAGCAGCTATTCTTGGTCCTTCAACCATTCCCCATGAACCCTTCCTAGCCAGTCTGGGTCATTTCTCCAAATGCCTATTTTCTAATCTTCTTGCAACACATCTCTCCATTCATGAAATTCCTAAGTTCATTAATAACAGATCGCAAATTATACTTGGCATATGCATGTTATGTATCAGCTGATAGTTTCTGTGAGCTTTCCTCTGGAGTGCATGAAAGAAAAGATTGTTCAGGGGAATCCCACGTTAGACACTTTGTCTCAGGGAACTTCTGTGTATTGCTGGGGTTGGGAAAGGTGAACACCAGAAGTCCTGCTTCAGCCTAGAATTATTCGTTTACTGAGCATCTACAAAGATATCTTAGTGACTTTTCTTAGTTATGTTTCTGTCGCTGTGCTAAGGTACTATAATGAAGGCAACCTACAGAAAAAAGAATCCCTGGGCTTACAGTTTCAGTAGGTGAGTCCATGGCCATCATGGCGGGGAGCACAACAGCAGACAGGAAGTGAGTCCATGGCCATCATGGTGGGGAGCACAGCAGCAGACAGGAAGTGAGTCCATGGCCATCATGGTGGGGAGCATGGCAGCAGACAGGAAGGTCTGGGATGGGAAGAGCTTGCACGCTGAGACAACTACCATAAAGTAGAGAGATGGCTAATTGGGAATGGTGTGGAGGTTTTGAAGCCCCAAAGCCCCCTACACACACACACACACACACACACACACACACAAAGATACACACACTCTGGCACAACTCCTCTAACAAGGCTACACCTCCTAATTCTTCCCAAACAGTTCCACTAACTGGGAACCAAGCATTGAAATATATGAACCTACAGAGGCCATTGTCACCCAAACTACCACACCAAGCAATTCCAGGGAAAGGGTAGTGAACAGTAAAAAATTCTTCCCTTCTGGTTCTTAAAGTCTACTAATTAAAAAGCAAAAACTATTGTATGTAAAAAATTATAGTAAAAAAAAAAGTAAAGTAGAGAAAGGATATAATTGAGCTGTATAGGGCCACTGACTGCCAGGAAATCTTTTTTAACTCAAATGGTGAGAAAATGACGTGGAGTAAATCAATCCATGAAGGAGAGGTGACCAGTCATGTCTACATCAGAGGTAAAGGCCCTCCAGGCAAAAGAAACAGCAAGGATGAATTTTGAATGTGGGAAAATATTAGGGTGGCCAAGTGACGGGGGCATCATAAGTTTGACAGAGTCAAGTATTTAGCGAGGTCAGTAGTGAAAAGTCCCAGGAGACTTCTTTAGTGTCTGCAGCCCTTTGCTGGGTGCTTGGGCAGCAGTGGGGTGCTACTGGAGCTTAGGAGCAGTGGGTGGCATTGTCTAACTTACATGTGGGAAGTGCCAGACTGCCACACTGTCAGCAGTAAGGAAATATGAGGAGGGGCCATGGCCAGCATCTGAGCAAGAGAGAAGAGGGGCTCTAATAAGAACAGTAACAGTCAGAGTAGTTCAGAACAGTCCGATTGTTCAGAGTCACATGTTTTCCTGAGCACTGAAGGTGAAATGTGAAAGCCAGAGAGAAGCTGACTGAAAGAATGGACTCAACGTTGGTTTGTTTGTTGGAGACAAAGTCTCACTCTGTAGCCCTGGGTGGCTTTGAACTTGTGGTAATCCTCTTGCTTCAGCTCCTCCAGTTCTGGAATTACAGGCATGAGCCACCATATCCACCTGGATCACCATTTCTTGACAGAGAGAAGACTATGGGTAAGCAAGGGCTTGAGGCTTGTAAGTGATCAGGAAATGGGAGCTTCCATCTCTTAGACATCAAGGTAGAGACGCAGGCAGTTGAAACTGTGCTACATTTAATGGCGAAAGCATCTTTAATGACATACTGAGATAAAGGAACTCTTGGTACACCTTCTACATCCTCTGGGCATCCCTGGAGAGCCCTGGAATATGACACCAAGGCTTGAATATGGGGTATGAGTCTGGGTCAAATCTTAGTTCTACAACCCTAGGCAAGTTGTGGACATTCACCCTGCCTCCACTTCCTTGGCAATTAGAAACAAAGCAAATGTCTTAAATAACCAGCTTAGCAGGTTTACATGAGGCCTTAGCAAGCACAACCACCTCACCCTCCAGGAGCCCGTGACTACATGCTCTGTCATTGCTTGATCCACTGTGGCCTCTACTGGAACAAGAATCAGAGCTAAGCCTTTGTATCCACCCCACCTGGAAGCCGCCCCACCACTGTGGAGGGAGAGGCTGTCGGGTAACTACCAGGATGACTTCAGCTTCAGGAGTTACCGGGTAACACCAGAGCTGAATCATAAAGATGAGTATAGATTTTAGCATCTCCCATGCGTCCGCTTCTCCGGTATTCCCAGTTAGCCTCCTGCCCAGTAAACACACTTCTTCACTTTGCCTTTTCTGCCTCTCCCTAAATCTCTGGGCTCCTGCCCATGCATGGCATCTTCAACAGAAGGCTCTACTGTCCAGGAAGTTGATTCTTAATGGCAACTGATGATGCCGAAATGCATCCTCGTCCTGCTCTACCCATCATCCTGCTGGAAAATTATAGGAAAAAAAAAAGTTCCATAGATGCCTTAACATTACAGAACTGTCTAGAATGCCTTTGGTTATATTTGCATATCTATGCTGTAAGCCGGGTTGAAGAGACATTCCAGCCCAGCATGGTTTCTGGATTTTTGCTCACAAACTAGGTTTTCCTGTCATCAGTTAGCATCCAAAAGCTAAGTGCTTTGATCCTCTACCCTGGCTTTTTCAGAATTGCCCCACCTTCTGTCCCCAAAGCCATATCTTCAGTCTACTGAAGGACACCAGTACTGTGTGGCCTTGTAGGCTTCATGGGCATTCCCAAGGCTCTCATCTTTTCTTCTGGTCAGTGATCTCTGTACCCATTCAAGAGACAGGACCAGCTCCCAGGGAGTAGGCGAGTTGACGTCAGAGTCTGAGAGGATAGACTGGGGGCTTGCCTGTTTAATGAAGGTATGCAGCTGAGTGTGGTATGCACTCAGTCCCAGCACTTGGGGTGGGGGCAGAGTCAGAGGAAGAGAAACCTCTGTAAGTGTAGGGCCTTCCAGGCTAGCCAGACCCTGTCTAAAAAACACAAAATCAAAAAACAGAGAAGATGTACGGCTCTGGTTTCTGTCATCCCTCAGTCACTGTCCCTGGTCCATGGTGATGGTCCTGGTCCCCCAAGTTCTTCAGAGAGCAGAAGAATCCTTATCAGAAGAGTGGGGTGCAGGAAACACCAGGAAGGCCCAGCAGGGAGTGCTGTGGGAAGTCCAGGAGTCTAACTGCTCAGTGGACTGCATCAGCCCGCCTGCCTGTAGGTCCTCAGACCTCACCCCCCGGGGAAACTTCTAGTGCCCCTCATCCTGAAGGCGCTTCTTCACTCTGGCTCCTTGACCCCTCCAATTGTTAATTTCTTTTTCCAGTTGGTTTCATCTCAGTCTTCCTCCTTCACCTTGAGTGCATTAGACATTCGTTGTCTCCTTGGCCAGGAGAGTGTTTCTTATTCTATGATCTTTTGACCAATGTTTTCAGAGCAAATGAGTTTTAATCTTCAAAT